CCTATATTGCCTATGCTGTACTTTATGTCCTCATGACTATTCTTTTTTTTTTTTTTTTAATCTTCACTTGAGGATATTTTTACATTTGTCTTTAGACAGAGTGGGAGGGAGGGAGAGAGGGGGAGAGAGAGAAAGAGAGAGAGAGAAACATTGATGTGAGAGAGACACATCAATTAGTTGCCACCCGCCCGACCCCACCTGGGGCTGGGGAGGGACGAACTGCAACTGCAGTATGTACCCTTGGCCGGAATCGAACCCGGCACTCTTTGGTCTGCAGGCCAAAGCTCTAACTGCTGAGCCAAACCAGCCAGGGCACCCCATGACTATTCTGTAACAACCAATTTGTAGTTCTTAATCCCTTCACCTTTTTTTTTTTTAGTCCTCACCGGAGGACATTTTTCGATATTTTGTTCAGATAGAGTGGGAGGGAGAGAGAGAAAAACAACGTGAAAGGGACACATCGAGTGGTTGCCACCCACATGACCCAACCAAGGCAGCGGACAAACTGCAACCGAAGTACGCGCCCTTAGCAGGAACCGAACCCAGGTCTCTCCAGACCGCAGGCCGACGCTCTAACCACCGAGCCGAACTGGCCAGGGCTCCCTTCACCTTTTTATTTTTCATCCTCACCCAAGGATATTTTTTTTATTTATCATCAGATAGAGTGGGAAGAAGGAAGAGAGAGGAAGAGAGAGAGAAACATCAACATGAAAGGGACACATCGACTGCTTGCCTTCCACACGACCCCGACCAGGGCCAGGGACGAACCATTACTGAGGTACATGCCCTTGACTGGACTCGAACCTGTGACTCATTGGTCCAAGGGCTGACGCTCTAACCATTGAGCCAAACTGGCCAGGGCTCCCTTCACCTTCTTTACCCATCCCCCAAGCCCTCTGAAACCAACAAAAAGTTCTCTGTATCTATGGGTCTGCTTCTGTTCTGCTTGTTCATTTTGTTTATAGATTCAATCGTGGATGGATATGTATTTATTGCCATTTTATTGTTCATATTTGTCTTCTTCTTCTTCAAGAAGACCCTTTGACATTTCATATAGTACTGGTTTGGTAGTGATGAACTCCTTCTTATCTGGGAAGTTCTATATGTCCATTGATTCTAAATTGATAGCTTCACAGGATAGAATAATCTTGGTTATAGGTCCTTGCTTTTCATCAATTTGAATAGTACTTTCCACTCCCTTCTGGCCTTCAAACTTTTTTTTTTTTTTTCTGTTTTATTTTTTAATTTTATTTTTGTTACAGATGTTTCTCCTTTTTTACCCCATTGACACCCTCTTCCCCATCCCCCTGCCCCATCCCCGGCTTTGTTGTCCATGTCCATTGGTTATGCGTACATGCATATAAGTTCTGTGGTTTATCTCTTCCCACCTCCCACTACCCCCTCTTCTAAGGGTTGTCAGTCTGTACCCTACTTTCGTGTTTCTGGGTCTACCCTATTCCTCAGACTGTTATGTTCATTTTATTCCATAAATAAGTGAGATCATATGGTATTTGTCTTTTTCTGCTTGGCTTGTTTCACTTAGGATAATACTTTCCAGGTCCCTCCATGTTGTCTCAAAGGATAAGAGATCTTTCTCTCTTACAGCTGCTTCATTGTGTACTCCATTGTGTATATGTACCACTGCTTTTTTATCCATTCTTCTACTGATAGACACTTGGGCTGTTTCCAGATCTTAGCTATTGTAAATCGTGCTGCTATGAACATAGGGGTACATATATTCTTTCTGATTGGTATTTCAGGCTTCTTAGGGTATATTCCTAGAAGTGGGATCACTGGGTCAAATGGAAGTTCAATTTTTAATTTTTTGAGGTAACACCATATTGTTTTCCATAGTAGCTGCACCAGTCTGCATTCCCACCAGCAGTGCACTAGAGTCCCCTTTTCTCCACACCTTCGCCAACACTTGTTTGATGATTTGTTGATGGCGGCCATTCTGACAGGTGTGAGATGATACCTCATTGTTGTTTTAATTTGCATCTCTCTGATTATTAGTGATGTTGAGCATAGGTCTCTTGGCCATTTATATGTCCTGTTTGGAGAGGTGTCTATTCAGCTCCCCTGCCCATTTTTTTTTTTTTTTTATCCTAACCCGAGGATATTTTTCCATTTTTTGTACAGATAGAGTGGGAGGGAGAGAGAGAGGAAGGGAGAGAAAGTGAGAAACATCGACGTGAAGGGACACATCGAGTGGCTGCCACCCGCACGACCAACCAGGGCCGGAGACAAACTGCAACCAAAGTACGTGCCCCTAGCGGGAACCGAACCCGGGTCTCTCCGGACCGCAGGCCAACGCTCTAACCGCTGAGCCAAACCGGCCAGGGCTCCCCTGCCCATTTTTTAATTGGGTTCTTTGTCTTCCTTTTGTTGAGTTGTATGAGTACTCTATATATTTTGGAAATTAACCCTTATCTGATGTATCATTAGCAATGATGTTCTCCCATACAGTGGGTTGCTCTGGCCTTCAAACTTTCTTTTGAGAAATCAGCTGACAGTCTTATGGGAGCTCCCTTGTAGGTAACTAACTGTTTTTCTCTTGCTGTTTTATTTTTTTTTTTAATTTTTTTTTCTTTATAGGTTTTTAGAGAGAGGGGAAGAGAGAGGGTGAGAGAGATAGAAACATCGATGAGAGAGAACATCGACTGGCCGCCTCCTGCATGCCCCCCACTGGGGATTGGACCCACAACCTGGGCATGTGCCCTGAGAAGGAATCGAACCAGTGACCTCTTGGTGCATGGGTCGATGCTCAACCACTGAACCACACCGGCTGGGATCTCTTGCTGTTTTTAAGATTCTCTGTTTGTCTTTAACCTTTTGCATTTTAATTATGATGTGTGTTGGTGTGGGCCTCTTTGGGTTCATCTTGTTTGGGATTCTGAGCATCCTGGACTTGTATGTTTGTTTCCTTCACCAAGTTACAGAGGTTTTCTGTCATTATTTCTTCAAATAGGTTTTCAATTTCTTGCTCTCTTTTCTCCTTCTGGCACCCCCATGATGTAAATGTTGGTACACTTGAAGGTGTCCCAGAGGCTCCTTATACTTTCCTCTTTGTTTTTTTTTTACCCTCACCTGAGGTCATTTTTTCATTTTTTGTTCAGATAGAGTGGGAGGGAGAGAGAGGGAGAGAGAGAGAGAGAGAAACATCTTTTTTTTTGAAGGTGTCCCAGAGGCTCCTTATACTTTCCTCTTTGTTTTTTTTTTACCCTCACCTGAGGTCATTTTTTCATTTTTTGTTCAGATAGAGTGGGAGGGACAGAGAGGGAGAGAGAGAGAGAGAAACATCGATGTGAAAGGGACACATCGAGCAGCTGCCACCCGCATGACCCAACCAGGGCCGGGGACAAACTGCAATGGAGGTATATGCCCTTACCGGGAACTGAACCCAGGTCTCTCTGGACCACACGCCAAAGCTCTAACCGCTGAGCAAAACCGGCCAGGGCTCAAGGATACAATTCTATAATGCATCACAAGATATCTTTTTTTAAAGATGAATAGTTGTGCCCTGGCCAGTTTGGCTCAGCGGTTAGAGCATCAACCCACGGACCAGAAAGTCCCTGCTTTGGTTCCCGCTAAGGGTATGTGCCTTGGTTGCACTTTGTCCCCAGCCCTGGTTGGGGTCATATGGGTAGTGACTACTCGATGTGTCTCTCTCACATCCATGTTTCTCTCTCTTCCCCCTCTCTCCCTCCTGCTCTATCTGAAGATAAATGCAAAAATGTCCGTGGGTGAGAATAAAAAATAAAATAAAAATAAAGATGAATAGTTGTGATAGAAAACAAAGCACTTTAGATCTAAATTTAGAAAATAAATATTTAATTATAGTAGAATTCTTTTATTTCTGTATATACCAACTCTAATCTAAGAATTGTATAAGTGAAGAGAAAGGAATGACTGTTAGGGCATTGTTTTGGGGTCAGCAATATTTTTTAGGTTTTCTTTTTTTTGGGGGGGCCATGCTAATCTTCTCTGTATCATTCCAGTTTTAGTATATGTGCTCCGAAGTGAGCACAGGTTTTGGTTTTTGTTAAAATTACAGTTCTCCTTTAACTTTATTTTGTATTGGTCTCAGGTGTACAGCATAGTAGCCATGGGTCAGCAATTTATAGTATTGTAAAATAACATAGTTTTAAAGATCTGGGAGAGCCCGGATGGTATGGTTCAGTGGATTGAGCATCCTCTCATTGACTGAGAGGTCCCTGTCAGGGCACATGCCCGGTTGGGTTGTGAGCTCAATCCCCATTTGGGTGCCTGCAATTGATGTTTCTCTCCACATCAATGTTTCTATCTCTCTCTAAAAAATTAATTTAGAAAAATATCTGGGAGAAATTGGTGTTGTTTTTTTTTTATTTATTTTTATTTTTATTTTTTGTGGTATGTGCCCCTAGCAGGAACCGAACCAGGGACTCTGGTCCGCAGGTCTACGCTCAACCACTGAGCCAAACTGGCCAGGGCTTTTTTTTTTTTTTTTTTAAAGACAAATGAATGCTTAAGCCATTCAGGACCATTTTTATCCCCCCCCCCCCATATCAACTCAAGCAATACATACAATATTTGTTCCAGATAGATAGATAGATAATTTTTTTAATCCTCACCTGAGGATTTTTTTTCCACTTATTTTCAGACAGAGTGTAAAGGAGAGAGAGAAACATCAATGTGAGAGAGACACATCGACTGGTTGTCTCCTGCACGACCCTGACCAGGGCTGGGGACGAACTGCAACCGAGGTACGTGCCCTTGACTGGTATCGAACCTATGATTCTTTGGTCTGTGGGCTGACGCTCCAACCACTCATCCAAACCGGCCAGGGCCAGTTTTTATATTTTTAATAACTCAATGTGACGTTATTTGTCATCTTCAGCCCAAAACCTCTCCTGTTTTTAAACCTAGTTTTAGTTTCTTTTTAGTCTTTCATAGACATAAGGAATTACACACCATCTATTGAAAAAGTTCTTCACCTTTCAAAATATATTATTTTCCCCAAGATACTCGCATGGGAGATACCATGATCATGAAGGTGGTTTTCCCAGGGCGAGGCTTATCCATTGTATTCAGGATGTGCTGACCCCTGTGATTTCTCATAATGTGAGAAACCCAACTGCATAATTTATGGTAGTGGGGGACAGCATTTACACTCTCCCCTGTTTTTTATCTGTTTGCAAATGTCAGGGGGAACAAAGTTTGCAGCAGTTGGGGTAGAAAGAACAATGTGACCCAATGGGGTCTCAGAAAATCTCTTGGAAGAGACAGGTCTTGAATGAATAGGATTTAGATAGGAGAACAAAAGAAAAGCATTCCAAGTATAGAAGGATGGGAAGAGTGGAAGGAAATCCTTAGCAGTCTGGAAGTAGGTGCTAATGTGTTTCGGGGACAATAAGATAATTGTCTATATGTTACAAGCAGAGTAGTTTTGATTTGATTGACCTTTGTCTACAAGAATGACATGACTGCTGGAAAAGAGTCTGGTAGTGTAACACAGTATAAGAGGAGGCAGGAAAACTCTAGAAAGCTGTTGTGGGCAAATGGCTAGAGGTGGGCAATTATCTCCCCAGCTGACAGCAGCATAAGGACAGTGACTGTGTCTTTTATCTCAGTGTCCATAGCAATTAGCATGTAGTTAGCACTCAGTAAATGCTTGTGGAATGAATAAATGAGAATAGAAGAATGTTGATTATATGTACTAGAAATTATAGCTTTCCTAGAAATTAATCAGGGCGTGTCTTTGTGTAAGATATAGTTTCACCATAGTATTGTGTTACTAATTCATTCAATTTGTGGGAAATCTTTCCTTCAGATCTGTCCCTGATACCTCATCAAGTTTCCTTTATCTTGTATTTGCTCTGTTTATTTTTACTTTCGAGATATGACTTCATTTAATTCCAGCCTATTTAGTGAAATAATTTGTTCATAGATTTAAATATAATGACAATAAATGCACTACACTGTCCATCTTTTGGCTGTGAAAAGAAGACAAATGTACTTCTACCTTAATGTATGTACTAGTTAAAGAATATATTGACCTATAGAAACTTTTACTTCCAAAATTGAAACTCTATACCCATTAAATTATAACTCTCCAACCTCTCCTTAACCCAGCTCCTGGCAATCAACATTCTACTTTTCATCTCTGTGAATTTGACTACTGTAGGTACCTCTTATAAGTGGACTTTTGTGACTGGCTTATTTCACTTAGCATAAGGTTCATTCATGTTATAGCATGTGTCAGAATTTTTTTTTTTTTCATAATGTTTATTTGAAATTCCTCTGTTGTGAGCATATGCCACATTTTGTTTAGCCCATTCATCTATTAATGGACATGTGAGTTGCTTCTACCTTTTGGCTGTTGTGAATAATGTTTCTATGAACATGGGTGTACAAATTTCTCATAACCGTGTTTTTAATTGTGTATATACACAGAATTTTGGATCATATGGTAATTCTTTTTTTAATTTTTTGAGAACCCACCATACTCTACCACTTTACACTCTCACCAACAGTGCACAAAGTTTTCAATTTCTTCATTTCCTCAACAAAACATGTTATTTTTTGTTTTTTGGATAGTGGTCATTCTAATGACTGTGATATCATATCTCATTATACTTTAATTTTTTAAAAAGTGGAAAAAAAGAAAGGTCCATTGTGAATAGGAACTGATATATATAAATCATTCATGATATCACTTGTTTTTGATTTTCAAAAGTAGAGTTTTTTATGTATTAAAAACTGGTTCTAGCCCTGGCTGATTTGGCTCAGCGGTTAGAGCGTCAGCCTGCGGTCCAGAGAGACCCGGGTTCGGTTTCCACTAAGGGCACGTACCTTGGTTGCAGTTTGTCCACGATCCTTAGTTGGTCATGCAGGTGGCAGCCACTCGATGTGTCCCTTTCACATCGATGTTTCTCTCTCTCTCTCTTCCTCTCTCTCCCTCCCACTCTATCTGAACAAAAAATGGGAAAATGTCCTCAGGTGAGGATTAAAAAAAAAACAAAACTGGTTCTAACAGCACACTGAAATTGTACATCTTTTGCTATTGGCCCTTCTGAAATCTAAATCTCTACTTCCCACCATGTGGGTTACTCTTCTGATCTAAAAACTGTCAAGCTGTTTACAAATATTTGGGTGTGGCCACAAGAGGGTGTAGTCAGCTGTCCTCTTGTCCTAGAGTTCTGCCACTGTATGAAGTAGCCCCTTTAAATTGGTAAGTGCACACTTATAAAAGTTCTTTTCCTAGACCCTTGGCAGGAATAGAATTTTCATTTCACTGAAGTACTCTTTGTTTCCGAAGAATGTATTTACAGACCCTTTTTTATATTTACCTGGCGTGTTCTGCTTCTGGTAGCTATGAAACTCATTCTTAAATCTGATTTGAAAAATATATCTAATTATTGCAGCTCTAATGAAATTAGGTATATCTTTTAAGCTAGGTAAATAATTTTACTTTTCTTCCCAGATGTTATTGCTCATGGTATAAACTAACAAACAAAAAAGTAAAAAAAAAAAAATTATCCTTAATTCTTGACTTTGAGAAACTAAGTTTTGGAAAAGTTGTTTTCATATATTATACAAACCCAAAGATGAATAAAATATCAAATACCTATCACAGCTGGCAGGGGATTCTGGGAAGATGGTAGAATAGGAAGCACCAAGAATCTGTCTCCCGCCCTGGCCAGTTTGGCTCAGTGGTTAGAGTGTTGGCCTACGGTCCTGAGAGACCCGGGTTCGGTTCCTGCTAAGGGCATGTACTTCGGTTGCAGTTTGTCCCCGGCCCTAGTTGGTCGTGCGGTGGCAGCCACTCGATGTGTCCCTTTCACGTCGATGTTTCTCTCTCTGTCTCTCTTCCTCTCTCTCCCTCCCACTCTACCTGAACAAAAAGGGGGGAAAAAAAAAAAAAGAATCTGTCTCCCTACTTAGACAACAATTGCACTGGCAGAATCTGTCTGATATAACTATTTTGGAACTCTGGAGTCTGTTGAGGGCTTGCAACTTCCAGGGGAAGACTTGGAAGGTAAATTGAGGTCAATTTCAGCCCTTAATAGATAGCTATCTCCCACCCTTAGCCAGTGGCAGGCAGTTGTGCATGTGTTCCAGAGCAGCTTGCATACAGTTTGTGGAAGACACAGCGGGCAAAAAGAACCCTGTCTTCTAGATATCAGGGATCTATGCTCTGATAGCTTATTGCTGCTTCTGATCACAGAGGTACCAACAAAGAGGCAGGCAGCCTTTGTTGCACCTCCCTCCATTATTGCAAGACCCCCTCCCTCTAGCTGCAGTGACATCAGCAATTTAAAGGGCCATCACTCTTTTTTACTTCCCCTTCATTTTTTGCTTTTTACCCATTCAAGAGCCAGACACTAAAGGTTAGGACAGCCCTGGTCGGTTTTGCTCAGTGGTTGGAGCATTGGCCCATGGACCAGAAAGTCCCGGGTTCGGTTCCTGCTAAGGGCACGTACCTCGGCTGCAGTTTGTCCCCGGCCCTGGTGGGGTCATGCAGGTGGCAGCCACTCGATGTGTCTCTCTCACATCAATGTTTCTCTCTCTCTCTCTCTTCCCCCCTCTCTCCCTCCCTCTCTATCTGAAGATGAATGCAAAAAGGTCCTCGGGTGAAGATAAAATAAATAAATAAAGCCCTGGCTAGTTTGGCGCAATGGTTGGAGCGTCAGCCTGCGGTCCAGAGAGGCCTGGGTTCGGTTCCCGCCAGGGGCACATACCTCAGTTGCAGTTTGTCCCTGGCCCTGGTTGGGTCGTGTGGGTGGCAGCCACTCGATATGTCCCTTTCACATCGATGTTTCTCTCTCTCTCTTCCTCTTTCTCCCTCCCACTCTATCTGAACAAAAAATGAAAAAATGTCCTCAGATGAGGATTAAATAAATAAATAAATAAATAAATAAATAAATAAATAAAATAAAATAAAAATAAAAAAATAAAGGCTAGGACATTCAAAATCGACTGCATATGAAGGGATAATTAGAAAGTGATCAGGCATGCCCAGGGAAAGGCTCAGAAACTACCTGAGAGGACCATAAGTTTACACCTCATTCTGATCCATGGTATAAAGACAGCCTACAACAATTCAAAAATAATAATAGTAACTATAGCCAAAAAAAAAAAAAGGGTAGTAAACCCTGGGGAAGATGGACACTCTGATTTCCAAAGTTAGTACATTATTAGATTCTAATATCTAATGTTCAACAACAAAAATCACAAAGCAGCCCTGACTGGTTTGGCTCAGCAGTTAGAGCATCGACCTGCAGTCCAGAGAGACCCAGGTTTGGTTCCTCCTAAGGGCACGTATCTTGGTTGCAGTTTGTCTCCGGCCCTGGTTGGGTTGGGTGGTTGGCAGCCAATCAATGTGTTCCTTTCACGTCGATGTCTCTCTCTCTCTCTCTCTCTTCCTCTCTCTCCCTCCTACTCTATCTGAACAAAAAATGGAAAAATGTCCTCAGGTGAGGATTAAAAAAAAAATCACAAAGCATACAAAGAAATAGGACTCCATGGCACATTCAAAGGGAAGAGAATAAATCAACAGAAGTTGTCCCTGAGAAGACCTAATAACAGATGTGCTACATAAAGACTTTAAAACAACTGTTTAAAGATGTTTTTTTAAAAAAAAGAGGATGTGGAGGAAGTCAAGAAAATGATGTGTAAACAAAATGGAAGAGAATACCTAAAAGGAAATCTAAAAGAACTTCTGGAGCTGAAAAATACATTAACCGAAATGAAAAATTTCCTAGATTTCAAAGGCAGATTTCAGCAGACAGGAGAAAGGATCATCAAACTTGAAGGTAGGACAGTAGAAATGATCAAATCTGAAGAACAGAAAGACAAAGAGACTGAAAAAAAGCAAACGGAGTGTGAAGGATCTATGGAACACCATTAAGAGGACCAATATACACATCATAGGAGTCCCAATAGGAGAGAGGAGGGGAAAGAAAGACTATTTGAAAAAATAATGGCTAAAAACTTCCCATTTGCTGAAAGACCTTAATATAAATATCCAAGAAGCTCAATGACTCAAAGTAAGATGAAGGCAAGGAGTCCCACACTGAGACACATTATAATCAAACTTTCAAAAGACAAAGAATCTTAAAAGCAGCACAAGAGAAGCAAATTGTCACATACAAGGGACTCTCAATAAGACTATGACCAG